ATCCATCAACGCCATCCCCAGACTTTGATTAAGTATCTCTTGTGCCATAATGAACCGAGGGCGACCTGAATAATTACCAGTACGCCGTTCAAGAACATTATAGGCCGATTTAAGACTGTTGAACACGATTGTTTGTCTCCCCAAGACATCAAGATGCATCACCTTGCCTACAATTAACTGCCTGTTCATCATGACATCTATTCTAAAGAACCGTTTGATACTCACTGAAGCGTCCCTTACAATCACTCGAGAATAGCCACTTCGTGTTTTCTAGCTGGGGCATGTTCCCAAGGATTGGGATACGCGGAGGACTCGGAGGCAACTTTCGCCATGGACTTTTGAGATAAGAAGTGATGAAGATGAGGAAAAGAGTGAGAAGGAGACCCGTGACAAGAGCCCTATCCTTCAAAAATATGTCAAGTACGGGCAGTTTCAAAATGCTAGAGATGGCTGGGAGATCACGGGAGAATGGTGAGTTTACGGAGAGAGCTGAGTGGGGCCAGATTAATACCTGAAAATATTGGGTTTGGTGCACTGGCAGGAGCATGGCCCGAGGTATTATAAGCGTCGGGGAACCAGTTCATCTTTATCCATTTTCTTAAGGTATATAATCGCGTATGTTCGTACAGCACCATTGAGGGAGAGTGGGAGCAAGGGGTAGGTGAATTCAAGATTTGGGCGGGAAGGCTGGTACTTATGCATAAAATGGAGTCTGTGGTTGTGTGATCGTTGTTCCACAGTCAGTCTTTTCCTCCCGCGGGGTTCTAAGCCACGTAGCAATTCACTGGGGCGTTAGCCTTGCTTGTGGCTGACTACAGAATACAGGTCAATGCCATTAACGGCGTAAAAGCAGGAGGAAGTGATCTCCTAGAATCATGACTGCATCTAAGAATATGCCTAGGTCGGCCTAAGGTCACAAAGCACGCTTGATATCCGAGACCGAGAGTGTCATGGTCACGTTCATGAAGAGAAGAAACAACGGATGCCATATGTTGCAAAGATAATGCGATCCATCGTGTGCAAGTGACCATAGAAGTCCTCTGGTGGATGAACAAGTGATCGGTGTGACGTCTAGAAGGAATGGAAACGGAGGCCAGCGTAACAGAGGTTGAAGAAAGTAAGCCGAGCAACTACGTCCAAGTAGTGATGTTCCGGCCCGGCTTGGCCCAAAAGCCGGGGCTTTGGCTTGGCCTGAGGCAGCTTTGGCTTTTGAGGTCTGGGCCGAGCCAAAGCCGCCACAATCGGCTTGGCCCTGGCCCGGCTTGACCCAAGCCGCGGCTTTTGGCAGAGAAAATCTTACGACATAGAACTAGTAGTTACAGTTCAGCTAATCTAAATCTAACTTGGTGTGTTACGTATCACAAAACTATTTGAAATGCCACAATGCAGCTGCTGATAAACATATTCACGTGACCTAAATCATCCACTTCGTGATCAGATTTCTACTGATTTTGACGATTGCTATTGCACTTGTACACGCTAAAATTTTGGTCGAAAGCCGCGGCCTGAGCCGGCGGCTTTAGCTTTTAGCTACTCTGAGCCGGGCCAAAGCCCTTGCTGGGCCGTCACCAACGGCTTGGCTTGGCCCAGCTTCTGGCTTTGAGCCAGGCCAGGCACATCACTACGTCCAAGTCAAGTGTATGCTTCTGCATCTCCAAATGGGCAGTCACCACAAGTAGCTAGCTATCAGGCTGTTGTGCTCAGACTCCCAGTGGAAGTTTCCTCGGCAACCCATAGGACTGCAAGTAGAGTTGGTAAGACTTTTCAAGGCTTACTTACTTTTCGGACGAAAATCCCACTGTATGGTTCAAAGTCCCCGAGCCCATTCCTCGACTCGATGGTCAGGGACTCACTGCATCGCAACGAACAGGGTTAAAAGTCGAGACGGACTAGATCAATAATAATCCAATGCCATTCAATTCCGAAACAAACTACAAACTAAATGTTCCTTCTTCCCTTCTCGTACAAGCGTGAGAAACGTACATAATCACTGTCACGACATTGATCAATCAAACTAAAAACAATAATCAAACGACCAATCAAGAAAGTTCCAGCTTTGTCTCTTTTTCCCTCTTCCTCTCTTCCTCTCTTTCTTTCTTCCTCTCTTTCTCTTTCTCTTGTCCTTCCCCAAACTACTACTCCCCTCCTCCTCTCCCCCCCGCCGTTTCCCTATCTATTTCCTTCTCCTTGACACCCTTCCATCCGCTTGTCTAGCGGCCACTTTCCTTTTTTTTTTTACTAAGTTAAAAAGTCTGGACAAAATCTAGACAAAATGTCTCACTTCCGCATGGGAAAGTTGGCTAGCCCCTTCACGCACAAGCCTCAGAGGCGTGCCAATCCGTATAAGTCACTCTTTCTTCCTTCTCGTTCTCTTTTTCTGGTTGCCTTTGCTCGCGCACATACCCTCTCCTTCTCCGAAAACTGTGCCTGGTCCGGCTCCCATGACCTTTCAGGCACTGGCACCTTGTTCCTTATTAAAATGATCATGATCTCATACACGCATCTGACATCCAAATTTCTATAGCATGCAACACTGGCGGACTCTATATTTCCCCTACTGCGTCCCAGTCCATCGAGTATACCACACCCGTCAACATCACTTGGGACACAACCTGTCTTTACTGTCACTTATCATGCCCCTTCCTCGGGTGGTACTCCTGCCGTCGCTGATACTTCTAAAGCCGATACAGTCGTCACTGTCGTAAAGAATGCCCCGTCCTCTCACCAACATATCTCTGGAGGTAAATTCGCTGCCGCTGTTCTCATGCCCCTCCTTATCGTCATTTTTCTCATTTCTGCCGCGTACGTCAAGTTGAGGCGTGAGCTCGGCAGAGACGAGCGCAAACAGTGGAGCAAATCTGTCGACAAGCGCATGAGCACCATTTCTATAAACTGGAAGCCTATTTCTATTGCTGGTGCACAAGTCGTCATCCGCAACAGCATGGCAATTGACTCCAATAACCGGGGGTCTTCCTTCTCTTTCGGTAACATTCGCCCTGCCTCTACTGTTGCAGTCGAAAGTGATCAAGCAGGCATCGGTTCCAACGTTCGCACCGTCTTACCAGGTCAGAGCAACGGCACAGCACAACTTCTCTCCTCCGTCATCACCGCTCAGATGATGGCTGAGCGTGTCTCACGTGTGTCTTTTGGCCCTGACGTGCGGCCAAGTACAGGGAGTCGTCGTACGGTCACCAGCCGCGCCTTCCACACACCTATTGTCCCTCCAATCCCAGACAGAAAATGGGATATCTCACAGTCCTCTACACCCAATTCAGAACCTGATGAGTTCTTGTCACCCACCCAGACCAAAGGTCCGCAGACTCTCAGCGTAGGAGATATTCAGGCTCGTCTAGCTGGCAGGGGATATCATCCCGCTCTAGTGTTGATGCTGTCATTCCTGCCCTTCGTTGTGCGTAATTTCCTCTTATTTTTACTCGCTCCTCTTAATCCCATTCGTTCTAGTGATGCGCACCAGTGAACCCTCTCCAGGCTCTCCAGGTGAGGACGAGCCCGAACTTCTTTTCTCTGCTCAGTCCGCGACGTTTCCGGCCATTCCATCCCCAACTCACAGCCCGCACAGTGCCGAACCGGCCTCCGCCATGTCGACGTTTATGCCTATGCAACCAATGCCCACGAATATGATATCTCCTGATGACATGCTGCGCGCATACGCCGAGTGCCGCGCTGCTGGAGGTTCTGGCATCATGGGTGGTCCCACCGTTCCGTCGCCTGCGTATACCGGTGCAGGCGCACAAGGCGGCATGCGTACTCTGTACTCGCCAACTCACTCCCTGGCAGGAACAAATGACCGTAGCACAAAGCGAACCACGATGGGGAGCCAGTTTGCGGATGAGGATGCCTATACGGGGAAACTCTAAGCGCCACCCTCTTTGGATCTTTCATCTATCCCCTGCCGATCCTTTTCCCTTTTCTCAAATTCACAAGTCAGAAAATCTCGTTGTACGTGTGTAACCCCTATCCCCTTATCCTCCCCCTTGACTGGCTACTGATCTGTTCGACCGCGGCTGTGAAATTTGAAAGGACAAGTTTTTTTTTGGCACGGCACGGCTATCCCCTTCTCATGCCCTTTGTCCATCTACATATTCTTCCGTGTGTAGCGTCCCATTAATCGTTCACATAAATGGACTCGCTTAGCCTCACTCTTTATGATTTTTTTACGGTCTCGGGCGGTGTCCGGACACCGCGCGTGTCGTTGGCGCTCCCGACTGTCGCGGCGTGTATTCTCACTTTACGGCCGACTCGTTGATATACTCCCCTCCGTCACAATTGGTTTGCCACTACTTGTTAAGTCGGTTTGTTTACTGCCGTGTGATTGTAGGCATCGACCTTATTTTTTTAATCTTTTAGGGGCAATTTTCAATTACGTTTTGGTTTTTTTATGGCTTCAATTTCTTCGAGTTTGTAAATTATTAATTAATAAAGATCAAGTCATGTTGGGTTGGCGATATGGTGGGATGACTGCTGTAACTAATACTGTCCCAACGGCAATTCTCTCTTGTGATACATGAGGACGGGAGGGTATACGGGATCATGAGAAGAAAGGCGCGCGCGCCTCGGTGTTTGGCTGAACCACGAGTACGCCTCGGAGCCTCGGCTTACAAAATTAAAGATGGGTTTCAAGAAAAATGAAAACAACGAATAATCTATTTTGTCAACATCGGGCTCGATTGCTCACGGAAAAAAAGACTCAAATTTAAAAGATACCCGTCACAATACAATACTAAGATGTTAAACCCAAAAATTTTTAAATCTATATCAATCAAACTATTAAGATAAATGTTTCTAACTTTAATCTTTTGTATAATAAATATTACATCTGAAAGAAAAAGTATTAAGTATATATTTGTTTTTGTTTTTTATTTTTATTATTGTATTTTTTGGTTTTAACATTGAAAGTATAACTCTATTAAAATATATTTTTGTTTTTTTAAATATGTAATTAAATAACCTAAACTTTGATACAAAATTCTAAATCTGTAACATCTTTAGCTGAATTGGTAAAAGTGTTTACCTTCGAAGCAATTGTATATTGGTTCAGATCCTGTAGGATGTATTAATTGATATTTATTTTATAAAACAAAAACAAACAAAAATTTTTAATTAAATTAAAATATCCCAACAACCTCATTGAGACAAGCAGAGGCAGACCAGACTGCACCATATAGTGCACCACTGAAAAAGGAGATGTATAATGAGTCAGTGAAATGCCTGCCTGTAAGGTGCATTGTAACAGGTGCAATCCACCTTGTGGGTAGTGATTAGGGCTGTGCACCATCCATTTTATGGTGATGGCTGTCACAGCCAGGTGCATGCTGTGTAGTGATTGTCAAGGGTTTTCATACCTTCACGGGTAAGCACCATGGGTTTTGCCGGGTATGGGTATGGGTATATGGCTCCCAACCTGTGGAAACCTGTACCCATGCAGTGGGTTTGGTGGGTATAGGTGCCAATTATGCATTGACAAGATCAGTAGAAATTCTAAGATAAAACACATCTGCAGCCACAAAAATAAAAGATCTTATCTGATGTATGCTATAGGGTATCTTTAAATATGTTCTAGTATTATCATATGAAATATCAAAGCAGATTAACAGTGTGATGTAAAATAAAAGTGTTATCAGTGATCCACTTCTTGAAAATCATGATGCACCTGTTTTATCAACACGCGACCAATTCTGCCGGTCTGGCACTATCTAAAATACTCTCTAGACTACTTTAGACTATAATATAATCAAATTATCAAATTAGTTTACTGAAAAAAGGCCCACATGTATCTACAAGCTGCATGGGGCAGCGACTACATTCCATTGCATGGTGGTCTGACCTCCTTCCTATTAAGGAAGGTTGACTTAAACACACAAGGACAGTCATGCTTGTATGAAATGAAAGCAGAATAATAAAATAATAATGTAAATAAAGGATCCTTTTAATCTTCTGAACATAAACCAACAATATTTGAGGGATCTTGAGTAGCCATAAATGAATGTGTTGTGTCCAAGTGCTTATCTCCTTGACCAGGATGGCCTGGGCCACTTATCTGAAATGCACAGAAATGCAAAGAACAGTCATGCTCATATAAAATTAAAACCAGAATAATAAAATAAAAATGGAATAATAAATTATCTTAATCTTATGAACATAAAATAGGAATTTTGAGGGATCTTGAGTAGCCATAAATGAACATGTTGTGTCCAAGTGCGTATCTCCTTGACTGGGATGTCCTGGGCTGGATGTCCAAAATGCGCGATGCAAGTAAAGAACTTGCACACATTTCATTTTATGGGTAACCCAGGTATCAAAACAATTACCCAGGGGTTACCCCTGCAAATTGCTATGTGTTCATCAAATTATTTTGCATTCTGTGTGGTTATCTGACAGGCTTTTCATCAATGTTCTATAACATCCTATCTAATCATCTCTGTATACTGTATTTTAGTTGTGCTTGTATAAAATTGAAAGCAGAATAATAAAATAAAAATGGAATAATGAATTATCTTAATTTTCTGAACATAAAATAAGAGTCATTGAGGGATCTTAAGCAGCCACAAATGAACACATTGTGTATCTTCTTGGTCCAGGAAGTCCCAGGCCAGGTATCCGAAATGTGCGATGCAAGTAAAGAACTTGCATGTGTTTTCACAGGTGACCCATGGGTAACCCATGGGTTACCCGTACCTGTAGTGATGGGTACGGGTACGGGTATGGGTATGGGTACCAACAAGGATACCCCAGGGTTACCCCTGCCAATCACTAATGCTGTGTCAAAGTCAGGAAGTCATCCAGGTTCAAGACAACTAAGTCAGGATCAAGACTATGTTCAAGACAAGTCAAGCCTGTTGAACAATCATGCTGCTGGTTACTGACTGTGGTTAGTAGTGGTAAGGCTAGACAAAAGACAAGTAACTTCAGAGGTAGAAGGAACTCTTTAGATACTATCTACTGATGTGACAGATTCTACACTGACCAAGGTGATGTAGAACAGGCATGTGCGCAGCATACTGACTGTGAAAGTTAGCAGGTTAGGCTAGAGAACAAGTTAGACTTCAGAGGTGAAGAAAACTCTATTACTATACTACTGACCTAGAGAACAAGTTAGCTACAGAGAGCGGTTAGTCAAAGGTATAAGTAGGGAGTAATGTAGAAGGGACTTACACTTCAGAGGTGAAGAAAACTCTGAAGTGTAGGAGACGAAACAGACACCCTTATATACATTCCAAGGGATGGTCTGTGCACTGGGAATAAGTCCACAAGTGCCGGACAAAGTCCAAACAATAAACAAGAGGGACTAAGGCCATTGGCTACTACAGAAATCACATGTTATATGGTGTATCAGTCAGCTACTGTGGAATGTGAGAAAGAAAGTAATAATGATAATGTAAAAAGTCCGAGACTCTGGTATCTAATCTAATCTACAAAGTAGCTAATCTAATCACCTGATGCCTGAAGCATCACCAAACATCTTCTGTGTTCAACATCCCTCCATGCTGAAGGCATCTGGTCATAGATGGAAATGAATTAAATGAGCACATTGCCAGTCAGAGATCCAACTTCTCTAACTCTCAGGAGTGAGAAGGGCATGGTGTTCAGAGGCATATCGTGGTGATTCACTTATGCAAACTGAAACCATACACACCTCTTGCATCACTCTCGAAGTTGAGAACTTTGCTCATGGTGGGAAAGTGAGACTGGTATTCAAAGTCTCCAAATTCCAGCTCTTCTCATTTCAGCATAAGTCCAAGTCCATTGACCATGGTTTCAAACAATGCTCTTGGTAGAGACTTAGTGAAGCCATCTGCCAGCATCTCACCTGTGGGGGTACGCACTAACTCAATTATGTGCGATTCAATGTACCCCCTAATGGCATGGTACTTGATAGGTATATGCTTTGACTGCCTTCCTGTGACTGGGTTTAATGCCAGATCTACGGCACCCTTATTGTCACAATGGAGTAGTATAGGGGAGGATACCTTGTACCCTAATTCCTCCATAAATGTCCTATACCACGCAGCCTGGTTTGCAGCCTCAGAGAGGCTCATATACTCAGCTTCAGTGGTGGACTGTGCTACTGTTTTCTGCTTTCTGGAACACCAAGATATGGCACCATTTGCTAAGAAAAACACATAGCCTGAGGTTGAGTGGCAGTCTTCTTGATCTCCCCATGAAGAATCTGCAAAGCCATGAAGGCCACTCTCCCCATTCCCTCCAGAATAGCGTAACTTGCAGTCTTTTGTGCTATTAAGATACTTTAAGACATATTTTGCAAGTCGCATATGATCTTGAGAGGGGTTGGAAGCGTATTGACTAAGGCGCGCCACAGCGAAACTGATGTTGGGTCTGCTTCCAATCTGCACCCATAGCAGAGACCCCATCAACTGTTGGTACTTCTTTATTTCAGAAGTAGATGCCTGGCCATCAAACTTGACCAGATTGTTATGACCCTACTCTTTTTCCTGACCCTGCACACCATGCCTTATTCTTTGCACCACCCTTGATCTCCTCCTTCTCTGGACCACTCTTTGATGCCCTTGGCCTGTTGCCTTGGGACCTTCCTTGATGCCTGTGGCCTGTGTGCCCAGGACCCTACCCTGATTCCTGTGACATTGTTCATAGGACTGACCTCCCATGCTGCCATTTACACCTAACCTGCTGGTAGTTATGCTGCTACACTGTTGGATGTATACCACCCTTCCTTGCTGCCTTGGCTTATGCCTTGGCCACTGCTCCTGACCCTGTCCCTGTGCTTGACACCCATAGGAACTGTCGAACAGGCATGAGGTGCAGCATACTGACTGTAAGGTTAGCAGGTTAAGCTAGAAAGACAAGTTATACTTCAGAGGTGAAGAAAACTCTATTACACTATACTACATACCTAGAAAGACAAGTTATCTACAAGAGACGGTTAGTCAAAGGTAAGGTAGTAAGTAGAGTAGATGGGACTTACACTTCAGAGGTGAAGAAAACTCTGAAGTGTAAGAGATGAGACAGACACCCTTATATACTCTTCAAGGGATGGTCTGTGCACTGGGAATAAGTCCACAAGTGCCGGACAATAAGTATGAGGGACAAAGGCCATTGGCCACTACAGAAATCACATGTTATATGGTGCATCAGTCAGCTACTGCGGAATGTGAGAAAGAAAGTAATAATGATAATGTAAAAAGTCCGAGACTCCGGTATCTAATCTAATCTACAAAGTAGCTAATCTAATCACCTGATGCCTGAAGCATCACCGAACATCTTCTGTGTTCAACAGGAACCCCTGACATTGTCCCTGCCAATCTGACCAGTCCAGACAACTAGACGACTTTGGCTTGTACTTGACCCTCTGCCAGTCATGTGACTCCTGGCCATGTGACCCTTGGCCATGTGACCCTTGGCCATGTGACCCTTGGCCATGTGACCCTTGGCCATGTGATCCTTGACCATGTGATCCCTGACCATGTGACTTTGGACCATGTGATCCCTGACCCTGATCACAGCATCTTCATCTGATCATTTACCCCTTTCTGATCACATGGCCCATCTGGCTTATCATTCACTTCTCTGATTCCTGTGGGAGTATTCCCACATCCACCCTGACTCCTGTGGGACCTGTTATCTCCCCATTTACCCCTGACCCTGGTGGGAATCCTCCCACACTGATATGACTCCTGTGGGGCTGTCCCACATGATTATGCTTCTGATAAGGCTTATCCTTATCATGGACTATATTTGACATCTTATCTGCTATTGGATGATAAGGACTCTGACCCTGTTCCTGATTAGCTACAAACCAGATCCCCATACAGTATATAAGACCCTGTAGACAGTTTGTACAACCCTAGATTTGACCTCTTGTGCCTTCAGCCTAGAGATCTTAGACCCCAATACATCAGAAGCCTTTTCCCCCTCTTTTGCATCCTTGAGATCCCTGCAGGGACCCCCATTGCCTCTGGCAATGGGTGTGTACCCTTCCCTTTGAACCCCTTTGCTGTCTCCTAGGGCTCCAGTGTGCTCAGTGCATTTCTGGCACAGCAACTGGGCCCTGTCTCCACTTAACAGCCTTAGGGGATT